TAAGCAACATTAGGAATCAAACATTTGACAGTGATAGTGCGCTTCACATTTGTCTTATGAGAGATGGTGAACTGTGTTCAATTTTTCTGATTTTTGAAGATATATTGTTTTTGATTTGTTGTAATAATTGTTTCCGATTAAAGAAAAATCTATTGTAATTGTTAGAAAGTTCCAGAATAAATAATTATTTACTACAGAAGGACCTGCCTTGGGTGAACCCTTTATACAAGGGGTGATCAAATGAAAAGGTACGAAACGACATAAAAATGAAACAGTTAAATATTTGCATATTCCGCCAAGGGAGAATGTAGCGAGACATCTCGGGATGCCATTGGAGACTCTGACTGGGATCGGATCATGCGCGGGTGCCCGCATGCGCAGGAGAGAGCAAAGGCTCTTATAAAAAGCGGCGTCCAAATGATGCGAGCACAGAATGACTCGAGCACAGAAAAAGCATTAACTCCGATGTGTACTGTGAGACACTCCGACGCCTACGCAGGTCCATCAAGAACAAAAGACCGGGGCTGCTCACGGAGGGTGTGGTTCTGCTCCATGATAACGCGCGTCCACACGTCTCCAGAGTCACACAAATGGAACTGGACAAGTTCCAATGGGAGACGTTGGACCATCCGTCCTACAGTCCGGACATGTCACCCTGCGATTTCCGTGTGTTTGGTCCACTGAAGAAACCCCTGAAAGGAAAGCGCTTCAACTCGGACGACGTACTCAAGGACACTGTGAAGGACTGGGTCTCGTCACAGCCACAGGAATTCTGGGAACAAGGAATCCTGCGGCTTGTTCATCAGTGGGATCGTTGTGCTCAGGCCTATGGTGCATATTTTGAATAAAGTCTATATTTGTACCCACCGTGTCGTTTCGTACCTTTTCATTTGATCACCCCTTGTACATTTGGAAGACAATCAATCTTCCATGCACCAATATTTATGGTAAATGACAAATTGAAGTTGTAGTATAGTTTTTTACTTCAATTAATTATCTAAAAACATTGGTTTCTATTATATTCAACAATAATCACAATATTTTTTTACTAAACAAAAGAAACAGATCGTAAAGACGCTATGTAATTATATTAGTGCCTTTATATTGTTTCTAGAAATCTATCTTGACGCAATACATTCACCTTGCGTAAGAAATTTGTTCCAAAGAATATAAGACATACAGACTTAGGCAATTTAATGCAAAAGTAGAAAAATATTGCAAACGTCACGAGGAAAAATAACCCAGTCGAAATAACGAATTCTTTTTTTTATTTCTTTCTGCTGAAGTCAGCTAAAAGATATATATTTTTATTATTTTTTTAAACAAAAGAAGCTTGCTGTTTTTTCTTTTTTCCCCGTTTCTATTTATGAGGGCAATAACATCACTTTCATATACATCAAACAAGTAAAACCATTTAATGTTATACTTTTGAAGGGATGTAAATAAATGTTCTTTGTGAATAGTTTATGTAAAAGTAATAGAAATATAAATAGAATTATGCTTTGGTGTTTTATATATAAACACGTATTAGTGTTTCCCTTTATCTGAGGCGGGAAAAGGGTTATTTTTTTACAAGAATCCAATTTTGATGTGTTTTCAAATTTTAATAATTTAGAGACAGAAAATAACTTTTTAGGTGACTGATTAAGTCTGGAACCGTAATTTTGAAAAACCGTACAAATGGATAATTTTTTTTGATAATTAGAGTTAATTGAATACACGTATTAAATACTTTTTAGAATAATTTTACAAGAAAAAATTATTTAGGTGCATTTTTTTTTTTTTGTTGACGAAACAGGAATTAAAAGGACTTACCGTATTTACTCGAATCTAAGCAGAACCCCCAAATATCTACTCGCTTTTGAAAAACAAAAAAAAATTGTGTAAAAGATTCATCGATATTCAATACTTAAGAAATTTTTAAAAAAATAATAAGAAATAATAAAAAGTTAATAATTAGTTTATTTGAACAGTATTATAAATTTTCAAGTACATACATGAGCATGTCATTACTCTAACCCACTGACGTAGCGAGTCCTAAGAGGACCCTATACCTAAATTCCTCGGGGGACCTACTTTGGGGGCCCATCAACATATTACGATCTTTTGCTTAAACATGTTGGGACCCTTGTACTTTGGGAGCCCAGATCATTGATATAGCTGATACATCGGTAACTACGCCCCTGCTCTAACCGTCAGTATCATGTTTCGAAAAGAATTCGTCACTTCCATTGCCACAGCTGACTTCGGAATTGGTGCCGGTTACGCCCTTCTCCCACATGATGTCGTCTTCTAAGCCATCCGATGCATTTGTTATGTAACATTTTTTAAAAGAATGTGCAAGTGAAGAATGTAAAAGAATTATTAAAGACTGTTGAACATTTAAAAGCAAAAATTATATCATTTTGATTACGCCATCGATGTATATTTTTTTCATCCATGCCAAATTTTCAGTGCCGCTACTCTGTTTTCGTTTTATTCTGCATATAAAATTGCCTCACTTTTCGTACTTGCATCATAGTAAACTCGTCTTGATACTATTGCCGATATCGGTGGTGTTTCGGTGATCAAAGAAGGCGTGCACAAAAAAATTTCTTAAATACGAACAGACAAAGATGTTTAGGATAGACTAAATTACTGGAGATAAACTACGGACTGGTATAAGTCATCGATGCAAGAGGTCAGAATGGACGGTTACATTTTTCCTTTTTGAAAGGGGTAGAAACTCAATTTCCCCCATCCAACAAATAAATGTCTTCGATTCTAAACCGCACCCGATTTTCAGTAGCTTTAACACTGAAAAAATGGGGCGGCTTAGATCGTTAGTAAGTACGGTATTTTCAAAACATTTTTCGTTTATGAAAAATACTTCTATGATAATAATATTTTACCTATATATAGCTAAGAGTTCTGCACCGGCCTTGAGCTAAGATTTTTTAAATACGTAATTTAGAAGTGGATTTATTTACATTTTATTACATCAGAGTAGAGAAATTTAAGCAAAATACACTGGTTATTATTTTGATTGATCGTAACTCTAGTGATAATGTGAATGTTTTAAAACTTTTAGTTCAACCCTGGCATGAAAGTCTTAATTGTAAAAAGGCATAATATTATTATTATAGAAGTATTTTTCATAGGAGAAAGTTTTGAATATATGTCATTTTTTTTTTCATTTTCAGCCAAAAGATCGTATTTAAATAATTTTTTTTTTGTTCTTCTTGTCTTTCTTTCTTGTCTCTTTCTTTTCTTGTAATACTTAAAACAGTTTTTTACACGTTTATATTCTATATATAATTCTACTGACAACAACAACAACAAAAATATATTCATTACTACGCTTTTTCAAAATCGTGGTTCCGAACGTAGTCTCAGTCACCTTAAATTATGTAATCTTAGAACAATAATATATTTTGGGTAAGCTGATTTTTTTTAACATTTTGGATTAAGTAATATTTATTCTAAGAATATATTTTATTTAAATACAAAAAGAAACGTACGTGTATTGTCAAATTATAAATTTGCACACATGCTAGTCATTTAAACACTAGTAGAAATTAATGCCATTTTTACGCGAGAAATATGTTGACGAAATTTATTAGTCCTAATTCTCTATTTTGAGCTAAAATTAAAATTGTAAACAAAATTTCAATTCCACGTGCAACCTTATTCACTAATAAAACACAGTTCTTACTAGAGCAGATGTTTTTATATTAAAATGCTCATAATGTTTTGTGAATAGAGATTTACATTTAAAGATGATTATAGTTCTTATAATAGAAAATTTTTTAATGTCGTGATAAATTATCGTTTGCTCCATCTAGAATTTATTTTCCTCATAATTAAAAGAAAGAAAGAAGAATAAACTGAAAAAAAGTATTTAATAAATAGTAAAAAAGTGTTTTAAGAGTGTTATTTATGGACATTTGATTCAGTGTTGCCACCTCTACAAAATATATTCAAATGTAAAAAAAAAGAATTTCAAAAAATTTAATTAAAATTAATAGCGTAGATTCCAAACACCATTTTAAAACTATTTTAAAAACATTCCACTTAATGCATACCAGCAAAGAAATTTAATAAAAATATATACCATAAAAATAATTGCCTTTTACATATATTATCCAAAATTGATTTCCTGGTGCTTACGTATACATATTTACATGTTTAATCCTAAATTTTCTGCATGTTTATTAAAATTTCAAGTAAGTTATAATCCGTTTCACTTCATTATTATTAATATATTCATCTCATTTTGAGAGAGTGTTGTTTAATAATTCAGTCGAATCTCCCGACTATTATAAATTAAAGAATTATGTTAATTATATCAAAATATCTCTAAATATTTAATGTACCATAATATAATATGACAATTTCTTAGATTCGAACGCCGATGATGAAATATGAGAAGACGTTTGCGTCATTGCGATGTCTATCAAACTCTCGCTGCCAGTAAAAAGAATCAATTTAGTGACCTTTAGAAAATAAATACTACGTTACTAAAAATATATGTTCGTCTAAATAAAGTATCAAGTAATCCACTTATTTGCGTTATTCCCTGATTTAGGATTCTTTGATAAAATAAATATATTTTTTTCCCAATCCTTCTTTATTTCAGTGTGTGAGTATATTATGCTTTTACGTGTATTATTTATTAATTTTAGAGTTTTTTTCAACGCTTTAAATATTTATACTTGGAAATCAACAACGTTTATTGAAATTATTCTTAAAACAAGTGTTATATAAAAAAAATTAAATCGATTCCTACTTAGGTCAACAAAGAAAAAATTTTAGTTACTTTTTATTAAATAGTCGCAATTAATGTAAATATTTATATACATATGACAGAATCACAATATTAAGTGACAAAATAGAAAGCAATTTGTGGTGTTGGAATATTTTTTTTTGTTATTATTTATTCATTATAAATAAATTTAATTATTCTAATAAAATAGAAAAGTAAAAAAAAAAATCACATTCTCAGATCGATATGTGGATTCACATTCTCGGAGGATTCAAACTTACGACCTTTGAAGTAGAAGTCCAACGTGCTATCCATTGCGCTAAGGGGACATAACAAACGATTTTTCTTTAAAAAATATACTGTTGGACTATTATTTTTGTTTGTTACTATTTATTAATTTTAAAATTTAATTAATGAATTAATATTTGAAAAACTATAATAACATCAAGTGTCATCGACTACAAGTTTTAAAAAAATGTATTTCAATTTGAATGGATGAATAGAAAGTATTTTATTAACGATTGAAAATTTGAACAAGATATATATATATATATACAGGTGTTTCATAAATGATGGGAGTAACTTTAAGGGGTGATAGTACACATCAAGACGAGTAATAGTAAATAGGAAACCAAGTGTCCCAAACGTCTTCCGAAGGAGAAAGGCGCCATCAAAGTTTAGGGTCCTAAATTTCAAATGATGATAAAAAACGGGAAAATGGATCGATTCATTTGCGGTTTTCACTAAAATCATTCTTTAAATTAGTATTTTCATTAAAAAAAGTTTTAAAGATAAAGTTAAAAAAATGCCGTTAGAGGGCGCTCTAGACTTTGGAGTACCGAACAACTACCTTTTACCAGTTTTTTTTTTATTTTGTTAAATGTTTACAAAAGCTTAGATTTTAACTTGAATTTTGAGCGCAAAATTGAAACCATCGGGAGCGGTTAAGTGGCGCAAATGTAACCGCGTTTAGGGAGGAAAAATTGAAATGCTCGTATGTAATGATCAAAATAAAAAACGATAAAGCAAACTTTAAGAGGCGATAGTACAACACCAAAACAAGTAACATTCATCGAAGAAATCATACTCGTAATTTTAACCCGAAGGTGATAGAGGGCGCTGAAACAGATTTCGTTTTAAGAGACAAAAAGGAAACAAAGAACATTTACGTTATAAAAAAAAGTTTAATTAGAAATGATTACAATATCTGTTCGAAACACTGACCATTAGAGGCGATGCATGCGGTACAACGGCGAAGAAGGGATTCACGAACCCTCTGAAACACGCCAGGAGTATCGCGCACCTCTCCTGCAGCTGCCGAAAGTCTGGCGACGAGTTCTTCTGCAGTTTCGATAGGAGTCTCATACATAAGACTCTTCAAGTGTCCCCACAAAAAGAAATCCAGGCATGAAAGATCGGGCGATCGCGCTGGCCAAGGGACAGGACCACTTCGCCCAATCCATTGATTATGAAAGGTTGCGTTTAGATAATTTCGCACCTCTGGCGCAAAATGAGCTGGTGCTCCATCCTGCTGGAACCACATTACTCGCCGGATACGAGGGGAACATCTGTTATCATTTCCGGCAGCACCTGTTGCAGAAAGGTAAGATATTTTTTTCCATCCAGGCGTTCTGGCAGAAGATAAGGTCCAAGTAGATGGTCACCAATTATTCCTGCCCAAACATCTATGGAAAATCGTCGCTGATATGCATGTGTAGAAGACGCATGTGGATTTACATCTGCCCATTGGTGGGAATTGTGGGTGTTAAATGTACCGTCACGTGTAAATGTACATTCATCTGTAAAAAGCACAGTTGCACCAAAATCGGGATTTAGGGTGTGCTTCTGCAGATACCAGCGAGCAAAATCCATTCGACGAGGAAAATCCCTTTCAGTCAGTTCCTGGACTCGTTGGACATGAAAAGGATGCATACTTTCATCCTTTAGTACTCGCCATGTCGTGGAGGGTGATACTTCAATTTGACTAGCCACTGCTCGCGTGCTTGTATTTGGATGATCAGTCACCATATCCAGAATTTTTTCTTCCACGGCTACCGTTCTGTTAGACTTCGCACAGCCTGCATTTGAACGTGCACCAAAAAAGGATCCTGTCTCACACAACTGTCTGTGCAAGCGCACAAATGTTTTATCATTGGGCAACCGTCTGTTGGGAAACTTTTTTCCGTATAATCGTCGCGCCTCTGCACTATTCCCATTTGCAGTTCCGTAGATGAAGTGCATATCAGCCTTTTCTTGATTAGTGAAGGGCAACATCTTTCGTTACGTTTGTTCCGTGATTTACACTTGCACACTCGGGTCAATGGCTTTTATCTTAATAACAATTTGCATATGCGTTCTTCTTCTTCCCCATATCACAATTTCATGTTCTTCTTCCAGAATCTTGCAGCTAAAACGCTTGCATGGATAAAATTTGAAGATGCTCTAGCACGCTTGCGTTTGAATTCAAATCATGCATTTTCTAATCGAAGTTGATTGTTTTTATGTTGTACTATCGCCTCTTAAAGTTTGCTTTATCGTTTTTTATTTTGATCATTACATACGAGCATTTCAATTTTTCCTCCCTAAACGCGGTTACATTTGCGCCACTTAACCGCTCCCGATGGTTTCAATTTTGCGCTCAAAATTCAAGTTAAAATCTAAGCTTTTGTAAACATTTAACAAAATAAAAAAAATACTGGTAAAAGGTAGTTGTTCGGTACTCCAAAGTCTAGAGCGCCCTCTAACGGCATTTTTTTAACTTTGTCTTTAAAACTTTTTTTAATGAAAATACTAATTTAAAGAATGATTTTAGTGAAAACCGCAAATGAATCGATCCATTTTCCCGTTTTTTATCATCATTTGAAATTTAGGACCCTAAACTTTGATGGCTCCTTTCTCCTTCGGAAGACGTTTGGGACACTTGGTTTCCTATTTACTATTACTCGTCTTGATGTGTACTATCACCTCTTAAAGTTACTCCCATCATTTATGAAACACCCTGTATATATATATATATATATATATATCTTTAAAAATAAGTTACAAAAAGAAATAAAAACTTCTATTAATATTTTAAATAAATATTATTTTAAAATATATCGTTAATCTCGATATTTGTTTAAGGTATGTGACTACATTCGGAACCGTGATTTTGAAAAAGCGTATAAATAAATAATTTTTTTTTAATATTTCGTATCATTGAATTAGAATATACATAGCAAATGTTCAAGTGAGAGAGGTTTATATTAACGTCGCAATATAAAGCTACTCGAGAGCTATTGGCAACGAACCACTTAGTTCTGAACCAGGGATAAAATTGTTTCTAAGAATATTATTGCTATACAAATTATTTAAATGCCATTTTTTGGCAAAAAATGAAGAAAATATAACTTTTTCAAAACATTTTCTTTCATCAAAAATGCTTCGAAAATTATGTATATTGCCAAGATCTTTGCACAGATCCTGAACTAGGATTTTTGAGAATTATAACTTAGAAATGGGTTTATCCACATTTTATTTAGATCAGAGAAAAATTAACAAAAAACACTGGTTATTATTTCAATCGATAGTAACTCTAAAATTAATGTGAAGTTTTCAAAAATTCTATTTCAGGCTCTGATATAGTACAGACAAAATATTAGTATTGTTACGTAGATCGAAGTTCGAGGATTTTATTTACGTAAAATCCTTGAACTTCGAATCCTCGAATAAATCTTTAGGAGCGATAGAAATTTATTGTCGAAAAACAATCCTTGAAATACAGGATACACAGCAAAATTCGTAGAATAAATCTCAAAAGGCCTTCACACCTTCTACGGCGTTCAGACACAACTATCAGTGTCTGAAATACAAGTATGTATCCACAAGCGCACGCTCGTTCTACTCAACAGCCAAAGTAATCCCAAATCACTGGTCGACTCTTCAATGGTTCAAGGCAAGACTACTAATCACTAGCCAAAACAATACTAACTCAGTTTCGGCGAGCTTCTCCCTATTTATAGGCCTCGCGGGGATATTTCGAGAAAAATTAGCTTGCGTCGTAGATCGAGATATTAGTGGATTTCTCTACTAATTTCCAGAAGAATCCATAGCTTCCCAAACTTGCCAAAAATAGTCGCCAACTTGGCTCTATCGCCAAGATTTCACCAAGTTCCCATTGATTCGCCAATATAACTTAACGTACGGCGTTGTTTGCAAATATATTACAATTTTAACATAAAATAAATAGAACATAGAGCAATTTAAATGCATTACACATCCAAATAAAAATTATTACTCTATTTTACACAAAAGTCGTAACAGTGCCCCCTCCTCAAAGATTGCACGTCCCGGGCAGTACAGTATCTATTTACAGACAAACTATTCTCATAATAATAAAATATAAAGTAACAAATACTCAACAGCATATATAAAGAAAATAACGAATAATAACCATGAATTTACGAACAATGGTCGCCAAATTGGTCGCCGCCAACATGGTTACCAAAAATGATGCTAACTTGGCTCAATCACCATGATCCAGCCAAGTTTCAATTGAATCGCCATTATAATGTAAGGTACGGCGGCGTTGCTTGCGAATATTTCAATTTTTAACTTAAAACTAGCTACATAGCCCGGCGTTGAACGGGCTTTTTCTAGCTTACTATTTTTTTATTTTATTGATATTCCTAAAATAGTTTTAAATGTATATTCTAAATCAAGTGATAGTGTCGCGAATTTAACAAATATTCATACCATAACTATGAGATGTAATTTAATATATATATTTAAACTAAAATATAATTTCAAAGCTCTAAGAAGTTCATAATAATAAATGAAACAACTCAACTTGTATTGAAGTGATTTTGTAAATAGTAGATTTATGTTTTTTTGTGAATGGCAACTGTATTGATGTAAATAAAAAGAAGATTTAGAATGTCAAGTTTTGTGTGGTAGTGAATTATTTAAAATAACCTGTTTTATTAAAATTTGAACAAAACACACAGATAGTGTAGCGGTGTCATCTATAAAAACAGGTAACAAACTCCGTACTAAGGTTGTCATTTTGGTATAGTGGTTAAGTTACTCGGCTTAGGATCCAAAGATCACGGGTTCTGTCCTATGGGATAAGCGCGCCATATCATAAAAAATTATTCATTTGTACGCTTTTGCAAAATCAAGGTTCTGAAGTTTGACAGATCCCTTAGAATAATTTCTCACTCAAAATTGTGTACTTATAATCATTTTTTATCAAATAATTATCTTTATTTTTGCTTGCTTATTACTCATATATATTAGTGAATTTCTAAGTTTGAGAAAATGCCTAAAATTTTGGTGGCCGCGGTA